ATAGGGTAAAAGGGGGAACAGAAAAAAGAAAATATTATATAATTTTATAATATTCACAGCATATTTCACACTATAATGCAATACCTTCATCTCAATCAACGCCCTTTCTGCTGCATGCTGAAAGAGGCCACAGCACGGCCAATATGAGCCCAGTTCTTAGGCTACAGCGCAGGGATCATTTGTGTTATTAGCGATCTGTGAGTTTAATACAAAAAAGCATGATCGCACCGGCAAACTTGGTGCCTTCCAGCCTGGGTTACGACACCAACTTCAATCTTCGGCATGCGAGTTCAGCCTTCTTTAACCAAGCAGGGCTTCCAACCAGCTCGGATTTTGCAACTCTTCACGACACTACGCTTTTTTTTCCGGTTCGGTCTTTTCCTGACATTATGGTCAGTTTTAAGTGCCCACAGTCCCGACACTCATGCATTATTTTGACAGTATATAGAGTATTAATCGTAGTTCATTGGCGAGTCGCCATTGGTCATATTCCTTCACCGCAAACAGGAGGTTGGGCTAAGACAAGTACCACAAGAGGTTCACAGAGACTATGTTGTTATATCTGTCGGCAAGGCCCCCAGTAATTGTGTAAAAAATTTTACGTTATGTCACGCTTCAGCGAGTCTAGGTTTGCTGTTACCGTTCAAATGATAGGTAATAGCATGTATTCCCCGGTGGTACTTTCTGATCCACAGCTTCTCGATAAACATAGTAAAATCCTCAATGATTTCCAGCTAGGCATGTCCGGAGATGATGACTTTATCCCTGTCATTTACGCAAGGCCGTCAGTGCTTCCTTCTTTCGAAGGCTGCTTACAAGTGGACCGACGGCGGGTTTGACTTCCTGGCATATGACAGTGCCAATTAAACGAACGGACGAGTTGTGGAGGTCTGGGTTTCTTATTAGTAGAGTCGAACCTTCGATCTACTGCAGAACAGTCACTGCACCATGCCAGGGAAAGAACTAGAAAGCCAACTCGATATATTGATGTAACGCAAAAAATTTCAGTTTTATTTACGGTCAAAAAGATGGTCACACATCATATGCATATGTGAACGATAATGTGATAATAAAAATCTTCTTATAATTAATTACAAACTTTAGAGCTGCAGCAGAATTTGCAAGAAATTATATCGCATTTCCTTATGCTCGAATCGGCGCCGCGTCGCTATGCAACTTTCACGCATTTTTGTATAAAGCTTAGCGTGCGCACATTATATGAATACAATCATTTTTTCTTGGCAGGCCTGCAAAATGCACGCATTTACTGAAAATATTCATGCACCGACAACAAAAACTGAGTGAAAACACAGTTACAGCGGTGCTCAGGAACAGTAAATCAAATGTGCACTTTTGCGATGAGGCGTTATGGGCGTACAGAAGGCGGATGCACACATACATATGAAATGGCTGTTAAACCGGTCAACGGCGTTCCTACTAGCCCATCTAATTATTATAAACCTAGAAGGCCACTGCACATTTCGTTCTGAGGTTAAATATGGTGGGCTAGATTCAGGCTCGAAGTCAAGCACTAGACTCAGTGAGTCACAAAAACTGACATCAGCTGATTCACGTTACTCCGAATTAGAGTTTTGGACCTGACCATGCCCCATTATGAAATGAAACTCCATCCGAACTGCAAAGCCAGAATTAGTACGTCAAGAAAGTGAAATCTGGAAGCCGAGCCATTCGATCGCATTGCGCAGTGAATTGAATACGTAAACACTTGTGTCTGTATCTCTCTGTACATGCATAGTGATTTTGGCTGAACCTGAACAGAGGCCTGGAAGTATTTCCAAATTTATGGCTCTCTGAATACACTCGGCAGCAGCGTTCTCGTAATGTCTTTTTTTTTTCTTAGCCTACGAATTAAAACAGAGCCATCTTAGAATTTTAGGTAAATTATCTTCCGGGTACAATTGGGAATTATGTGCACCGAAATCCCCGTTTTCCAAACTACTTCCAGAATAAATTTACCAGCAGTTATCAAGGCATTCCAGACTTCTCATCCGATCTAATACAGCCATGTACGTAAAAATACGAGAATAGGGCCAAGACCCCTTCCATGAGAATCATACACAAGCACCAATTTGCTACACCCGGAGATAGCACTTGTATCCGCCTTCAGCTACAAGTACTAGTTCCTACCGCTTGTGGACTGTTGTCAGCCGTCACTGTTAATTTGTATTCAGTGCACCGGTACCGTCAAACGGCAACTGCCGTGATTGTGCTGAAGTAGACTGGCTACCTCTTAAAAGAGAAACGCACGTCGCCATTCTCAAGCACTTCTATTTTTTTTTGTGAACTACACGGTTACTTTACACGCTGACACAGGACGCCCGCAGACTGGCTATGGGACGTCTCGCCAGATCGTAAATCTAGCCGATCCCACAGCAGCCATACAACATGTGCAAATAACATGATTTCGTCATAATACGCCTTAATGCATAAATTTTGCTCACTGCTGCAGCAACAAAAAACGCACAAAAACAGCAAATTATAAACAAATCAAATGCGCCAGGCTAGTTTTCCAGTTACTTAAATGGTCAAGGAGAACAGACCATTCCGTGATGCGCACTACCTGCACATGCACTGCTTGTCTGCCAAAAGCCATTGATATTATGTGCCAAAAAAGCTATTGAAATTCCCCAAATATAAAAATGCTGCAAATGCAAAAAAAAAAATTTGCTTTCCAAAACTTCGGAATTTCTCAGTTCTGCAGAAGCATTTGTCCACGTCCTGTGACAGGAAGGGGGCTTTTACAACAGTAAATACCCCAGCAGAAGGCAACTGAAATCCCCTTTTCTGAAGACTGCATAGTGCGGCCAAGAATAAAACGGAAACGGGTACTTCTTTTCTGCCAAACACGGGAATGGAAAAAAATTCGGAAGTTAAGTAAACAGTCCGAACAGAAAGTTACCGGCACCCCCTTTAATTCCTATAAATTCTAAACATACAGCAAAATGCATCAACTCCAAAAAAAAGAAAGAAAAACTACAAGTCTACCAAACACTTCGTTGTAGAAAAAATAAACAGAATGTGTCCTAAGATCCAGATTCAAGTATTCGTAAGACAGGCATTCTGCTAGAAAAAAAAGAGGTTTACAGGAGCATCGTTTCCGGCTTCTCCATGTAATCCTTGAAAAACTTTAGCCATATGGCTCCCACACCACCGTCCACAACACGATGATCACAAGACATCGTAACGAATAACGTTGTCTTTGCTTTGAACCTGGAAACAAAGTTTTGTTGATGGGAACTGATGTATTTGGATTATTGTTATTACGACTAAGTAAGAGTACGGCGCACTGCACCAACAAGCAAATGGCAAAACCTCCAGACTATGAAAGCCCGTACTTTGCACTTTCTATGGCTCTGACAGGCGGCATCTCCTTCTGCAACTTACAGTGTTCAACAACAATAGGAAGAGATGTGCTGGACAATTTTTCAATTCTCAAAATTCCCTTAAAAATCTTTGAATTTTAGTTTTACTTTTAAATCGCTTAAGACGTTCAGCTATCACTTTAGCTCATCGTAATATAAAGGAAACACCGACTGGTTGGATAAAGTCGAGAACAAACGCCATAGCAGAAAGAACCCTTTTTTTTTTGAATTTTAAACACTAGTTGTAGTTTCAACGTGTTTTATAATTTTTTCCTTACCCATTTTCACCATCGGGAACAACTTTCGGGCCTGAGCCGCCGACGGCCAAAATACACGAATGTGGCGGATTGATGATTGCAGTAAAGTGGTGTATGCTTCCAAACATACCCAGATTCGATACTGTGAACGTACCGCCCTGAAAAATACAAAGCGAACTTGGCTGTGCTTTTAGGCCAACCCGACTTTTCAAAAAGCCAGCATCGACATACCCACCGCAAAGACCAACTACCGCCAAGCTAGCTACTGAACAAACCAATTAAGAAACCAAAAACTTGTAGTTATCCTCAGTCAGCCTTAAAACAGAATCCGTCAGTAAACCTTAAAGGCAAAAAAAGGAGGATAGGCTTGTCATACATGAACAAAAGAAGCATGTTTCTAGACCATGAGGAAGTATTCGATGACACTGGATTGCCCTACGAGTTTCTGAACAAAAAAAGATTAATAAAAACTATTTCAAAAGCAAGTTACGGTCGTCTGATCAAAACAACACAGATTTTGCCGCTCCGTTAGGAACAGCGCAAATAGGACGACCCCTTAATGCATATGCTTTCAAGCCTCTTTGGCGAGCCAAAAATTTTTGTCAGCTGAATTGAAAAGAAGGAATGTGCACTACTGCTAAAAAGCTCAATCAGGCACACTTCCCTGACGAGAAATTCTCATAATGTAAAAAGAACACTGCACGAGCTCAACGCTAAAAAGTCTGCCGGAAAATCACAGCATCAGAAACTAAAGTTATGCAAAGTACCTATGCAGACAAGAGATGCTACCTCAGAAGAAGTTTACGTTCATGTCTGTCCTGGTTAGGAAAATGTACTCTACAATTTTCAGTCGGAAATTGCAAGGCGAGAGGCTAACTAGGCGACACAGAATCTACTGCTGCTTCTCAGAATATCAAAGGATGTTGTTAATGAGAGGATGAGGAGGGAAGGGAAAGGGGAGAGAAGAGGGACATGGCTTCGAAAAACCAGCCAAAAACGTTTCACTGAAATTAGGTTAATCTTGGGTTGCCAAAATAAATAAAGCGAACAATATATTCTTGTGGCTTCAACTTATTTTGGTGAGCTTTTTCTGCCAGATGCTTCATTTCCGAACTGATTTCCGCCAGTCCCTGAAATTCATCAGAATTAATCTTGCATAAAATTCTAACTGAAAAAAATTGGTTTCGAAATATCAAAATTTCTTTTTTACAGTGTTGATCAGTATTTGGTAAATGGCCATTATGAAGGTTTGTAGAGATTTTTATTGTTTACAAGCTACCGACAAAGTGCTAAATCCACCTCAAAGCTTGAACAGGCAATAATTTCTGGCCCAGTTACCAAAAGAAGCTGACTGCCGAAAGGCTGGCAACGGCTTTTTTAAACAAGGATTTTTTGTAAAACAATCTGAAAGGATTGGGAAACTGAGATGCATACGCAGTTCCAATTTACCACGGGACGGAACGAGGACGGATGCACAACAGACAGCTATATATGTAAGCAGTTAACCCAGCAGCAGCGCAGAACACGGTTGTTGGTGCGGTCATGTGTTTTTTACATAGTCTTCCCCTCAAATGCTTCGAGGCAAGTAGCGCTGCTTTTTCGAATAAGTACTTCTAGCTGAGCGAACAGAGGTGCACACAAGATTCGGCGCCACATCGCATCGCACATAAGCTGACAGAAACGTAAAAGCTGTTTTCACATGTACTTGCCCAAACATGGTCGTGGGCCAAATTTAGAAAATTTTAGCACCATAGTTACACTCATTGCGGGGTTAAACTTAGTCGAAAGCGTACCGGCTGCCGGTACGAGGATGCGTTTTTTGCATAATTCCCCCGTTTTTTTTCACCAGTGGCGCATTCTAGTGGCACATTCGTCCCGGCAGATGCTTCTAGCTAAAAGAATTGGGACTGGCCACCACGACTGTTAGAAATTATTGCAATGACTCCCAATCCATGCCCGAAAAATTCAGCGCTCTGGATGCTTCGGTTGCGGATTTACTTCAAATTCCACGTGTTCGCGCGTGGGTGGCAACGTGCATGCTTTCTTTGCCCGCGGTTGCTCAAACACGGTCCTGGGTAACGCTCAGAAAGTTTCAGCACTCCAGCTGATCTGGTTGCGGAGTTACGTCGAATTTCACGTACCCACACGTGAAACGTATGTGAGACGTGAAAGTGATGTGTAAGTCGTTTTTGCGTGCATCTGGTCAAAGGCCACCGTCGGTTATG